CTATATATCTATATATATATATCTTTAGCCTGGAATTTAGAAAAGACAGCAGAAGGGAAAGGCTTAGTGTATATATATCTGAAAACTTTCTTGATTTACTTTGATAAGTTGCATGTTCTTAATGCTGTTGAGCTCTCAAAATATAGGACTCGTGCTGCATTTGCATAAATAATTCTACAGACGTGACTACTCTCTGGAAGCCACCCCACCCTTGTTACATTCTATCTGTTCGGGGAACATTAGCAGTGTTACCTCTGCAAGTTCATGTTACATATTCCCATGTAACGGTGAATAGCTATAGTTGTCTTCCACGGTGTACATTGCTTTAGGTCAGTGGTTCTCAACCTGTGGGTCTCGACCCCTTTGGGGGTCGAACAACCCTTTCACAGGGGTCGCCTAAGACCATCGGAAAAAACACATATTTCCGATGTGTAAAGAGCAGCTGCTGTGTTGAAAGCAGCTGCTGTGTTGAAAGCAGCTGCTGTGTTGAAAGCAGCTGCTGTGTTGAAAGCAGCTGCTGTGTTGAAAGCAGCTGCTGTGTTGAAAGCAGCAGTATTGGAAGGTAAAACGACACTTCATGAATTATAATTACTGGATAAATAATTTTATGGTTGGGGGTCACCACAACATGAGGAACTGCATTAAAGGGTCGCGGCATTAGGAAGGTTGAGTAGCACTGCTTTAGGTCTTTTAATGGTTGTGTGTGTTTTACAATAAATATGGTTTCTGTATTGCCAAATCATGCAATGGTCTTTGTTAAATTTGTGTTTGTTTTTTTGTGTTGGATGAATGATGAATTGTTCTCACAAAATTTATTTATTTTTTTCAAGGTTGAAAAACTGGTGTCCTCGACTGCCATGGAGAGCTGTAAACCACAAGGAAGAGGAAACTGATAAGCGAACAATGGTAAGCAGAAAAGGCTAATGATTGCCTTGGTGGGGATTACCCAGTATATTTACATTTCCAGTAAGTAAGGCCCCATTCATACAGGGTAAATTAGCTGTGTGCCCCATGCAGGGTTGCCTTTTAATGACACTAGGATGAACGGTGTTGTGCACCCCTGTGCTGGTGTCTTGTTGTCCTTTGGGGACATTCAGCTGCATGGACTCCCAGTATAACATGCATCTCTGAAATCACCTTGTGTACATTTGGGAACCTGCACCCATATATCATATTGGGACACAGTGTCTGTCGGTGCAACCACTTGTCGCGATAGACAACAATGGGCCAGGAATGCATGAAACACCTGTGTATCCACGTGTCAGTAAAAGATGGTGCACGCAGCTAGCCTACAAAAAACCAACGTGAACAAGAAATTCACAAGAAAAAGCGGTTACATAAAGGACAATGCATGATACTCAACTTGTAATCAAAAATATGCTGTTACTAGCAAAGTAGCAATGTGAAACATTGAGTACACACTGCAGATAGCCATCACCTCAATATGACAGCTAGCCACCTCATGTGAATGGGGCCTAAATGGTCACATGTGAACTAGTCTTGTGCAATGGTGATCCTGCAATTGTTTTTAAAAAGGCCTGCATTCTTTCCTAAATGCACATAATATAACTGGATACTAACAGGTAAAGTTCATCCTGGGAACATCTGATTTCCTCTTTGGGGCTCAGGAAGGAATTTTTGGTGTGGGTATTTGAGTGTGAGTTTTTTTTTTTTTTTTTTTTTTTTGTTTGTGTTAGTTGAACTGGATGACCTTGTTGTGTGGGTTTTTTTTTTTTAATAATTAACTATGTGACTGTGAATTGGCAAAAATAAATATGAAAAATATTAGACACGTTTCAGAATTTAAAGGAAAATAGGGATTTGTTAGGTTTGATGAGTGGCGGTATAATCAGTTATCACATTTTGTTGCATATTTACCACAACCACTGAGGGAGGGAGAAGATATGAATCCATTTGAAAAATTAATGAACACAGACATAAGTCCAAAACATATCAACTCAAAGATATATAGGATTCTCACGAATCTAGAGGAAGTAGAATCCCCTGGGTATTGGGATAAATGGGAAAAGGAATTAGGAATAAAAATTAACCCCCAGCAAAGGAAAGGCATATGTAATTTAACACATAAAGTAATAAACGTGTATTGTCGAGATGAATTTTAAGTGTCTGGCAAGATGGTATATAACACCAAGTGTTGCCCACAAGCAGATGGGGGAGTGTTCTCCATGGTGCTGGAGGGATTTGCGGAGAAAAGGGTAATATGGGACATATTTGGTGGAGTTGTCCGAGGATACAGGACTATTGGAAGGAAATAGCTTATTATATTCAAGAGATTTGCGGGGTAAATATCCAGGGAGACCCTCTGAAATGCTTATTCTATTTCTCTGAGCCTAATGTAGGAACAGGTATGAATAAAATACTATATCATCTAATTAGCGCGGCAAAAGGTTTAATACCAAAGTTTTGGCTAATAGCAGATGTTCCCAAGATGGCGGATTGGATAGATAGAGTGGAAGGTATTTTTAATATGGAAGAACTGAGATGTGTAGATGAGGATAAGATAGGATTGTTCAAAAAAGTATGGAATGTTTGGAGGCAATCTAAAAATTCAGAAATTTATGCTCAATTAATGAGAGCAAAAGAGGTAGCCTAAAATGTTATAGGAAAGTTAGATGAATAAAGAGACGGGAAAGGATATAAATAGAAGATTGGGATGTCTGGGGGGGGGGGGGGTAGCGGCGCGGAGTGTGAGGGGGGGGGGGGGTCTGGTTAATTGAAAGTGTTTATTAATACAGGAAAATGGGAAAAGTATATGCTGTATGGAGCAAAATGTTTTTAAACAATGTTTGTATAACTACTAAATAAAAGATGAATAATAAAAAAAATACACACACACACAGTCACACACACAGTCACACAATTATACTGGGTGGAACTTAGTTTGCTAAATCTCAATTCATTCATAAGCTCAATTCATTCATAACCTGGAGCAGCCTTGCGTGGCAACCAATCATCTTCCCGCTTTCATTTTCCAGGCTTAACTGAACAAGTTAAATTTTGAAACTGGTTACTATGCACAGCTACTCCAGATTCTGTCAGTTTTAGAAAAATTCAACCCTATGTATTATAAACCAATTGCTATTTTTTTTTCTTTTGTCATGAAATGATATCACTTTTTTCATGCCTTTTTGCGACTGAGTGCTGTTGATCTTTCAGCAACTTCCTGTCTATATGCACTTGTTTCAGCATTGGCTGCATATCTTGCTGTAGACCACATTTTTGATAGTGAGAATGATAGATTGTGCCCTTGCAGTGTTTGTCGATATGGCCGCTTGTTACCTCCACTATGGCCAAAAGTGACACCAGAGAAGCGGAAATGGGTGTCAGAGACAGAGTGCTGTCACCCCATAAGTACCTGAACAAGGACATGAAAGCTGTTGATTTAAAAGGATTGAAAATTTGTTTTGAGATTATACAGGGTGCAGCAACATAACTTCCTTTTTTCAAAAAGCAATAAAACCCATTTTATGAATCAGAATTGTTTTTATTGTCTTTAATAATGTAGGTACATATCTAAAGTTCTCTTTTACACAGTTTTGAAAATCATATCAGGTAGGTGACGCCCCCCATTGTCCATACACTGAATAAGCCGATTTCTGGCATTTTTCATGACCCTTACCAGCATAGCAGCGGGTATGTTGGCAATTTCTGCGCGGATGTTGGCCTTCAGGTCTTGTAGGGTTCTTGGACGGTTTACTTAAACGCGGGATTTCAAAAACCCCACAAAACAAAGTCACAAGGGGCCAAATCGGGGGAGCAAGCTGGCCACTCCAAATCGCCCCTTATTGAGATGAGGCGCTCCGGGAAGTGTTCCCTTAAAACAGCCATTGATGCTCTTGAAGTGTGAGCCGTTGCTCCGTCCTGTTGGAACCAAATGTCCCCTAAGTCCAATTCATTAAGTCGTGGAAAAACAAATTCCTCTAACATGTTCACATACCGGTCTGAATTCACTTATTCAGTGTATGGACAATGGGGGGCGTCACCTACCTGATATGATTTTCAAAACTGTGTAAAACAGAACTTTAGATATGTACCTACATTATTAAAGACAATAAAAACAATTCTGATTCATAAAATGGGTTTTATTGCGTTTTGAAAAAAGGCAGTTATGTTGCTGCACCCTGTATTACCATGTAGGAGCCTCTGAGAGGTTGTGTTTAGATCTACTTTAATGTGGTTTGCTACATGGGCCACACACAGACTTGTTCCATAGTTGTGGGCACCACTCATAGTGGCTGTAGCAGGTGCACTGGTCTAGGAATTCAAGGGCGCAGTGATCTTGCTGTCTTGTTTCATATTACTCCCTGTAGTGAGACAGTATAGTGCCTCTGCTGCACACACTCTCAAGACGTCTTATTGGCACTGTCAGGTTCACATCAATGAACCACGGTTTACCTCCCTTTTTATGTTTTGGAGAGTGAGAAGGGGTGTGCTGTAGTCATACTTCCTTCCTAGGGTAACAACGTTGTTCTTCCATAAATACAGTACAGTGAGCGAGCATTCTCACCCCTAAGATAGGAAGTGTATTACTGCCAGGATTATCAAGTGACAGGAGGAAAAGTCTGAGAAAAGACAATGCAGCCATCTGTGGACTGGGAAGCTGCAATTATTCAATTTTTGGCTTTGGATATAGGCTTACATCTTCATTTTGTTGTTTCTACCATTGGCTCACACTGCACAGAGCTACTGTGGTGGTGTGTGTATATGTATGTATGTGTGTGTATATATATGTGTGTGTATATATATGTGTGTGTATATATATGTGTGTGTGTATATATATGTGTGTGTGTATATGTGTATATATGTGTGTGTGTGTATATATATATTTATATATATATATATATATATAAAAAAAGCGGGAAGGTTAAAAGAAAAATTACAGTTTCCCTTTTAAGAACTCACAGACCTCTTCTCAGCAGTCCATTTTCTTTTACTTTCAGGCTGAAATCCGAACAGATTTTGAGCAACTCTACCTCGTCATGTCTAGACACGAGGAGTTCCGCTGGATGACGTTGAGGATAAAGAGGATGGATGACACCTGGATAGAAGCAATTAAGTCCCTGGCAGAGAAGCAGAATTTGGAGAAACGGAAAAAGAAAAAGGTACTTTCCCTTCTCTCTTGGAGGTTTAGAATATTCTAAACTCCAGCGCTTCCTGCAATGCTTGTTTCAACTGTCCCCGCTGTGTATAGACATGAACATTGCGCCTACGTGACCCCAAAATAACTGGCGATGAAGTCTGACAAGAACAAGTCCCTGAGCGTTGGCACTCCGCCATTCACAAAATGCTAAGGGCTCAGCTTGATTTTATGGCTTGCTTTGTCGCTTTACTTTAACCTTACAGAGGCTGCCTTCATTTCTTCAGAACCTGGAACTCCATGCAGTACTCACTCTGAGATATAGAAATCTCTAGAATGTTGTGTTTAATAGATTACTCCACTTTTATCCACATTTTAGTCAAGGTGGAAAAAAAAAAAATCGCTTTTTTGCGATAATGCAGTGGCAGGATTTCCTATGGTTTCATTCCTTGTCCTCTGCCACCAATCAGTCCTTACTTGTAGCTACACTCTTATTATTCTACACGGGGCAGAAACCCTCAGAGGGGCGTCCATTTATTTTGCTTTCTAATGGCCGAGACAGTTGAGCAGAACTGAGAGCCATCTCTGTGGGAAATGAGGTGGTGTCCCTGGGTTGGAAAGAGAGACGGCACTGCTTGTGCAAAAAATTCATTCACACAATTAAAAATTGTTGGGGGGGAAAAAAAAAAAAAAAAAAAACAGGTGATGCATTCTTTTTGGACAGTACTAGAATTGTTGGCGCACCCTGCGGTGAGCCTTTAAAATTTGCACAATATGGATTCTGTAATGCATCTCATCCTCCAAGCCCTTCTCAATATATACATAGAACCTGTTATTTAGCTTGCCAGCCGCCACGCAAACCTGTGGCATTGGTTTGAGCAGAGTTTTTGCCTTCAGAACTCAAATCCTTATCCTTGTGCATGCATCGGGGTTGATTTACTACAGGCAGATATGCTGTGCACTGCAAATGCACCCGCAAGTTCAGTTGCCCTGGATCTGAGGGGAAGCTCTGATTGCTATCATCTGCAAGCAGAAATACTATTTTTTTTGTTTTTCCATTGCATGTGATTGGGTATTGAGTGATGTTTTGCCTCATTTACTAAGCAATTGCACTTGCAGTGCTCAGTATAGTTGCCTTTAGTAAATTCACCCCGTAGGCTCTAGATGCATCCTTTTTACATTTTGCTTGTTCCCATGTTGGGACCCACAGAGACAGATCCTTTACCAGCCAAAGTCTGCATTACGTGGACATCTTGACTACAAATAACAGCTCTCTGTTGGTCTTTATTTTTACTTCAATGACAGAACATTATGGAATACTGCATATAAAGTATGTTAGCTGATATCTGTTTCAGCATCAGAATTGTTGTGGAGGGTTGGATTTGCACTTTAAAGGAGAAGCCATCCAAAATGTATTGTTGGGAGGTTAGTGAGTCAGTGATGACTTTGTGTTGATGGCCTTTTGTTTTCAGAACAGTTTCTCTCCCAATACAAACCTATGGGGATGCAAAAGCAGGTGAAACAAGGCAACTGCAGGTCAACTGCACCTGCAATGAATTCTGATCTTCGAGTCTAAACAGAAGCATGCTGCATTTCCCTTTAAAGCCCACCAACACTGCTCCCACGTCATCTTGGTGGCCTATGCTTTGATCTCCTAATAGTAACAATCGGTGGATTTGATTTAAATCACAATTTAAATCACGATTTAAATCACTAGTCAGTAAGGCTTGATTTAAATCCTAGTTTTCTACATAAAGACTAATTCTTGCTGGTATAACTTTAATATACAAGTAGATGAAGATTTTTAGAATAACAACTTTTCATATTAGTTTTTTTATACCCAGTTTAATAGGTTAATCATTCATATTTGGACAACTTTTCTGTTGTACTTAGGAAGGAGAAAAATAATCATTACCTTAATAATAACAATTTAAATAGATTTATTCAACTGAAACAATAACATTCCAGCATATGTGATTTGCTTAAACATCCATGTTTGGTAACTAATTTGGCTAAACAAAATATATATATTTTAAGAAACGTAGACTGTCAGCCCCTTCCTCCTCACACTTAGTTTCACTTTCTTCTTGTGCAGATCTATTCCACTCCAAACAATCAGAAAAATATTGTTTCTATTCTATTCACTGAACTTCTTGAAACTTAGCAGTGAAGGGGTTGATTCTGTATTCATAGGTTTGTAGAAGTTAGGATGAAGGTCTTTTTCTTAACTCTGTTCATGTTATAACATTTTTGCTGTGAAGAAGAGGCATGTGATCTCCGCTGAGTCAAATTCAGTTTTGAGAACTGCAAAAGTAAACCAACATCTGTGATAATATCTTGTAGGCAGAGAAACTGCCCAATAATCTTACAAAAACCTCTGGAAGAGCATGACATTGTGAATGGATTCATGGACTTTATTTACCAAAAAAATTAAACATATACAGCCTTATTCTACATAATTAAAAAACTAATCTTTATTTCATGATGGAATAACCTTTGGATGGTAATATATTTTCCTCAAAAAGCATTTTATTCAAAAAAATCCGATTTAAATCAAAAAAACAGATTTAAATAAAAAAAAATCCGATTTTTTTTTTTTTTTTTTTTTTTTTTTTTTTTTTTTTTTTTTTTTTTTTTAAAAATCATTGATTTTTTATCCACCCTGGTAACAATATATGGCCTAATGCTCTGCACCTCAGAAGATTTCCCCAAAGGTGTCCAAGGCCTGTCTCTGAGCAGAAATGAAAACCATGCTACCCTACTCACTTTACTCTTTCAGGGCTGTAATTTGTGAGCCTTGAACAAAGATTTATACACACATAAGACGGCTGTCCATGCCTCTCAGTAGTGTGGGAGATGTATAATCAAGTGCTGCAGATGTGCCTCTGCTTGATGTCTTTTGATGACTCTCCTACATCCCTGCCACTGAACAAACAATAGATAGTGTCTACATCACGCAGGTGGTGAAGTGGGAACCTGAGGGATTCTGCTCATTAGAGGGAGGTGGAGGGTGTGGGATATTTGGGGCAGGTGGGGCCTGGAGAGCAGCTTTAAAGCTAATCTCCAGATTTTAGTGAAGTTTAAATAGTTTGTTTGGACCAAGCAAACTATTCCTTTCACTAAGGCTACGTTCACACTAGCCTTGTGTGCAGGCGGCAGAGAGGCGTTTGGGAAGCGTTTTTACCGCTTCCCAAACGCCTCTGCCAACTCTGCACATTACAGCACATGGTGCTGTTCTAACAGGAGCGTTTGCGTCGCGGCAAAACGGACGCCTCTGGTCGAGTCAGGAGGCTTTGAAGCCTCCTATTCTCGTCTATGGTGCCGCTCCGCAAACGCCCGGCCGGCGTTTGCGGTGCGGTTGCGACGCGGTTGCGGGGCGTTTGCGGAGCGGTAACACCACTCAAACGCATTATAGGCGTTTGTGGGGCGTTATTAACGCTCGGCAAACGCCTAGCAACCGCCGCTAAACCGCGCATGCGGCGTTTGCGGAGCGTTTGCCGAGCGTTAAAAACGCTCCGCAAACACCGGACCAACGCTTGCCAAACGCTATAGGGGCGTTTGGCAAGCGTTGGCAAAACAGCCTAGTGTGAACGAGCCCTAAGAGATGCCGCATCTGGGAGCACTGTATAAACTGTATATAGCCTCCGCTACATAAAATATGCAGTGTTGTGTTGCGGCAGTGAGATGGGAAGTTCCTGTCCCACTCCTGGAACAAAATCAAGTTGGGCTGAGCAGCGCTCAGCCATTCACAGGGAGCTCTGTATTTTATGAATTTGTTCTGGAGTTCAGCTTCAAGGAATAAAAACATGGCTTGCGGTTTTTCCCAACTCCATTTCTGCGTTTGTAGGCGACCGGTATCCTTACATCTTTCAAACAAAAGTTTGCAAATATATTTTCTTAAGCAGCCTACTCTTTTGTGTAATCACAAAATAGCTGATCTGTATTAGCAAACCTTCCTTTCTGGGTTGGAATTCATGGTATGTTGGAATAATTACACTTTACAGAAAGCAACATTTTTTTTTTTCTTCTTCCTATATCAATCCACAAGTGAGATAAGCATTGCAGTTTACTTGACCCTTCATTGTGATTCTGTGAGCAGTGAAATAACTGCCTATTTTCTGCAAAGAAAAGGTTTTGAAGTTCTGAAATCTTTTATGAACGTTTGCAGTTCTATTATGGGCTGTTCTAGATAAAAGAAACTTGCTTGTCAGCGGAGGGTCTTGATCACTGAAAACAATGCCAGCACCGCTTGTTGATGGTACATCTTTTCACCTTACTGACTGACTACTCAATGAGAGAGACAGAAGCAGAATCATTAGTGAATGTTTTTCTTGTACATTGTTCTTAGCCTGGCTAGGCCTCACACAGGGCCTGAAAAAAAGTCTAGGAGTGCCAAGTAAGAGAAAATATTACATCTAGTGCCTATATATTATTAACATTTTCTGTTGAGCTTGGAAGAATATATTCACCAGGTCTTTTAATGTTGGATTTTCTATTCAGTCTGTCTCAGGCTACAGACATTTAAGTATTAATATAGTCTTAAAAGTGAAGTATGGTACTTATTTCTTTAAAAAAAATCATACTTACCTAGGTGGATGCAGGATCGGTCAGATGCTGCATCTGTCCCCCACTGGCACCAAGTGTGAACTCACTGAACACATGACCACTGATCGTTGAGTTCTCACTATGCTCGGAGCAGAGAGCGCGGACTGTCAGTCTCTCTTCTCCACCCCCAACCCCCCACTGGAACACGGGCTGTGGAGAGGGAGGGAGCTTCTGGCTCAGGCTCTCAGCACATCGCTGAGAGGCTGGGCCAGGTGCCGCTCTTGACTCTGGGGTGGATCCTGATTTTGAAGTCGGGATTTCTCCCCAGCCTGGACTGGCTGAGTGACAGCAGACTTCAGCCCATTGTCAGTTGAAAACGGATCGCAGGAGTGCAGAAAAAAATGCACTCCTGTGATCCGTCGGAGAATTACAGCCAACAGAAATCTCCACCTAGAAATTTGTTATACAAGCAAGTGTCCC